ATACCGCAGCTATAATGGTGGAAAATTCCCTTTGCCTGTGTCTGGGCCTCATCCTGCATCTTCCCACGGCTGCAAAATCCCAGCCACTGGTGTGGCGTGCGGTGCTGAGCCTATTCCACTCACCAATCCGGCCCTTGGGTTTGGTTGCTGGGACAACTCCGGAATATGCCTGGAGCATCATATTGAGGCAGGGAACTACAGGCTGTGGGAGGGTTGGGGAAACTGAGGCAGGGCAGGGGGTCAGGTGCTCTGCACCCCTAAAGCCCATCCTCGGGGTGGGTGACTTTCAGCCCATAATTAACATAAATTAATGCAACGGTGAGAGTGTTAATAAACTTCAGGCTCTAACACAGAGTGGGGGTCTCAGCCAGTGTCCCTGCGGACCCCGGTATCAGTGTGTTTGGGGGGGTGGCAGATTTCCTGGGGAGGCTGTGACCCGTCACCGTAATACTTGGCTCTGGACGGTTTCTTCCTTGCTTGGCTGAAAAGGCTGATATCAGGGTAATGGGTGAGTGGGGAAACTGAGGCACGGCTCTGTTTTCCAGCACTGAGTGGGATCTGGCCAGGATCCTTCTCCATTGCTCCTTGGGGACCACCGTGGAGAGGGTAACCTCCACCCGTGGTGGGGATGGTTGGGATAAAGCTTCCTGCTGCGGCTGCAGAGTGGCTTCACAGCACACATGTTCCCAGTGGGAGTTGGGGGGGACACACAGCCCCATGTGGGACAGAAGCTCATCCCACAGGGAGATGGGGGACACAGGGGTTTGGTAGCTCTGGCAGTCCCCGTGGAGGGTCAGGGAAACCTGGTCCTGGGGTGCTGTGGACATCCCTGCACGCAGGGGTTTTGGGGTATCCGAGCACCCAGGACCTTTGGAGGATCCTCTTCCTTGGAGCCTTGGAGGCATCCCTGCTTTTGGGGTGTCCAAAATGTGCCTTAGGGGTGTCCAAGCATCCAGGGTCTTTGGGTGTCCTTGCATCCACAGCTTGGGGTGTCTGAACCCAGGGGTTTTGGGGTGTCCAAGCACCCAAAAACTTTGGGGTGCCTCACACCCAAGTTTGGGGTGTCTCTGCATCCAGGGACTTTGAGGTGTCCAAGCCTAGGGCCTTTGGGATGTCCCTGCTCCCACAGCTTGGGGTGTCTGCCCCTAGGACCTTTGGGGTCTCCAAGCTCCCAAAATATTTGGGGTGTCTCACATTCAGGGTCTCTTGAGAGTCTACACATGCAAAAATTTTGGGGTATCCGTGCAGCCGGGGCACTTGGAACACCTCTGCACCAAAAACTTTTGGGGTATCTCTGCACCCAGTGTCTCTGGAGCACCCCCACACGCAAAATTTTTGGGGTACCTCACACCCAGGGTCTCTGGAGCATCTCTTTACCCAAACCTCTTAGGGTGTCTCACACCCGGAGTCTCTGGAGCATCTCTGCACCCAAAACTTTTGGGGTATCTCTGCCCCCAGGGTCTCAGCTCGGCCCCCAGGGTCTCTGAAGCATCTCTGCACCCAAAACTTTTGGGGTGTCTCAGTACCCACGGCCCTTGCAGCATCTTGCACCCAAAGCTTTTGGCGTGTCTCTGCACTCAGAGCCTTTGGTGCACCTCTGCACCCAGAATTTTTGGGGTGTCTCACACCCTGGGCTCTGGAGCATCTCGCCCCCTGGGTGCTGCATGCAAGGGGGGTCTCTGAGCCCCACAGCCGAGAAGACCCCGACCCATCTGCTTCCCAAGGCTGGCAGACCATCCCACACCACCTCCTCCCGGTGCCCCCCACCACCCCATGAATCCCCCTCCTGTGGGACCACAGCCCAGCGCTGGGGTGCCCGGGGTGCCGGGCGGGAGGCAAATTCCTACGGGACCGCTCCGAGCGGAGCCGACGGAGAGACGGAGGGCGCCGGGACCGACCCATGTAGGGCTGTGAGAGCCAGGGCGGGCTCCTGACGCGGCCGTGGAGGAAACCAGGCGTCTCTGTGCGCTCGGTGTCATGTACTTCCTAATCCTCCCGGATTCCTCCATCGGGGTGGAGAGGGAGTGGAGGGGAGCCGGACGCCAGCCGGGCTCCTCCGGCGTTCAACCTTCCCGACGAAGCCCCAGCACCAGCACTGCCACCCTCCACGTAGCTCCCCTCCGTCGTGTCACCCCAAAACTCATCTTGTTTGTCTTTCCACCCGGGCAGGACATGAGGAAACACGTCATCATGACGCTGCTGGACACGGAGCAGTCCTACGTGGAGTCCTTGCGCACCTTGATGCAGGTAACGTGGCACGGACGGGGACGTGGCACCCCAAACCACGTCACGGCATAACCGGCCCTTTCTCGTCACCGTCCCGGGGACCCCAAGGCAGACCCCCAGCTGCGGGTGCTCTACCAGCACCAACGGGACGTGGATTGGGGATGGGTGTCAGTGGGGATGTTGGGGGCAGTGGGACCGGAGATCGGAGCAGCGTGGCAATAGCGTTGAGAACAGAGTGTGGGGGTCACCTCTGTCCCCCAAATCAAGCCTGTATCGTTCCTCTTGGGTCGTCACCAGGCAGGTATCGTGTCCCCGAGCCCCTTCCCATGTTTGTCCCCCTTCCTCATGTTGCACCCCATCTCCTGCGCTGTTGCTGATGGCATTTGCATGATGGGGGACCCCTTACACCCCCCATGCCCATCTCCCCCCATTTTTTGCTCGGCACCATCACAGTTCAGGGGTTTTTCTCAGGCTTTTTTTTTTTTTTACGGGGCTGATTCCAACCCCCTTGGAGCAGCCTGGCCGGAGGGTCCACCCCACATTTCAGATGTTAATGAAGGCGTTTCAGATAGTCGGTGGTGGTCAACGCCCTGGAGACTTGCTCAGGCTGGCGTAGGCGTGGGCTGTCCAACCGCCTCGCTGCAGGTGGGAACAACAAAAAATCGGAGCCCTGTTCTGCTTCATATGGAGCAGTGCCTGTAGGACATCTGCTGGGCACATCCAAGGGGGCATGGGGCACCCAGCGTATCCCCTAAATCCCCGGCGAGGGTGCCCCCAGATGTGCTTTGCCATGTTGCTGCAGGAGGGAAGGACCCTTTGAGGTTGCTCCTAGTGCAGATGTTGGCTTGGAGAGGTGAGCGGACCCTGTGTCTGGGGATTTTGGGGGATGCCATATGGGGTTCAGGGTCGGGTGGTGTGCCTGTTGGTTTTGGCATGGATGGAGGCTGTCCCATGGGCTGTGCGCTCCTCTGAGGTGGGACAGGAGGCTGGCTGGAGGGGACAGCCATGTTGGGGGTCACTGGTTCCCCACTGGTGGGACTGGTATGTGGGTGGGAGCTACGGTGTGTTAATGCCTGAGCTCTTGCCCACGGGACATGTCCTGGCACAGTGCAACCAGGGGAACGTGGCTTTCTGGGGGGTAGCTCACAGGGTTCCAGGTGCCCCCAGCTCCCCGTCTCAGCCGGGACAAGGTGCTTGGATCAGTGACATGGCCCGGTGGCACATAGCATGGTGGCTACCAGGACAAGGACCACACGGAACGTCATCTTCCAGCCAAGCCAGATGGTGCATAGGCCCTGACTGCTCTCCCTGTGTGCCGAGGCAGGGGCTGCCTCTGTGCTCTTCTTCCCCATCTGGTCCTTGTTTCCCCAGTTTCATGGGGGATGGGATGGATGGCACAGCCCAGCCCAGCTCCCGCTGGAGGTGCTGGCCACGGTTGGGCAGGTGAAATGGGTTAGGACCCTCAGGAAGGATTTGGCCCTTCTAATTTGCATCTCTGTAAGATGATACCCACCATCAGCTCAAGGAACATCATCCTTGGGGGATGACTCCTCCTTTGCCAGCTTGGCTGGAGATGTCCGAAGCCACTTGAGGTGGGGCCTGTCCTCACCACTCAGCTTCATGGTCCTCCCAGCATCCTGAAGGACACGAGCACCCCATACCGGTCAGGATGGCAAGGCTTGAAAAGACCTTCCTCATCCTGGATCCTTCCCAAATCCAGCTCTCCCATTTCCGGAGGCACTGCTCCTCTCCGCAGCTCTGCCCCACGGGGGGAGGAAAGGGGTTTTGTAGCAGAGCTGCCCACCCAGCCTTGCACAGGACTTGCTTTTCCTACGGCCCCTGAGCATAGCTTGTTGGTTGTTGCCCAAGAGATGCTGCTGGGTGAAAGGGTCCAGGGCTTGATCCAGTGGGGTTCCAGCCCCTCCTGGTCCCAAACACACTAAATCTTTCTGGCAACACACCGGCTTTTCGATCCTAGGGTTGTGCTGTCATGATTCCACAGCTAGGTCAGGCTCTGTAGCAGATGGAGGTGACCAAGGCTCATGACAGCAAAGATTTGGAGCCTCCCAAGACTGTGGGACAGAGGGTGCCCTGCTGTGGGGACTCCTTGTGCAGACCTGTCCCACTCCCTACACTGCCACAGGGATGCACTGGGTGGGATGGGACCCAGGGAGGCTGTGGTGCAAAACCTGCTGGGACCCAGCACAGTTTGGTCCGTCTGGTGGGTCCCAATGTTCCCTGTAGGAACTCCCTGCTGCAGGATGCCACCGACCCCTGTATCTACATGGGTTGAAAAATTCACACTAGGGGGGTGGGAAAAGAAATCTCTGTGATCTCCGATGCCTTTGCTTCCCCGCAGGGTTACATGAAGCCACTGAAGCAGCCGGAGAACTCACTGCTGTGCGACCCGTCGCTGGTGGACGAGATCTTTGACCAGATCCCTGAGCTGCTGGAGCACCACGAGCAGTTCCTGGAGCAGATCCACGACTGCGTGCAGAACTGGCACGAGAAGCAGAAAGTGGGCGACCTCCTGGTGCAGTCGGTAGGTCCTCGCGGGGTGGATTTCCCCCGGGAAACCCAGGCGTGCCCGCTCTCGGGCACGGCCCCAGCAGGAGACGTTTCAGAGCAGGAGGCAGGGGAGCGATTAAAGGACAGGCCAAACACGCCTGGGATGGAGAACAGGAGACGATCTCCAGGCCCGCAGTCTGCTTAGCGTAACGGCGGGGTGTTGCAGCGCCCGGCTGGGTCTGCAGCTCCGCGTTTCTGCCTCGGGAGCAGAAATGTCAGGGCTGAGAAATCGAGGGGGGCGGGCGGCGGGTGAGCCCTCCCTGCGCCAGCCCAGAGCCAGGATTAACCCTTGGGGCAGCTTCTTCCAGGCTCGCCCGAGATGTCCATCGCTGGATCTATCCCCTTTTCCCCCCTCTTCTCCCCTCCCAGTTCTCCAAGGATGTGCTGGTGAACATCTACTCTGCCTACATCGATAACTTCCTCAACGCCAAGGATGCCGTCAGGATCGCCAAGGAAGCCCGGCCAGCGTTCATGAAGTTTCTGGAGGTGGGTTCCTTGCCCTATAAATGCCGGCCCAGGTCCCACAGCCACCTGCAAGGCTCCTGAGGGGGGGGCAGGATGGGGTTAATGGAAGTAAACTGGTAAACTATGGTCACACTGGGATTTTTTTACCTCCCACCTTCTTGGTTTTATTGCAAAGAGGCTGGTTTGGGATGAACCAGAGTCACTCTCGGTGGTGTTAAAAGGAGTCACCCTGGCCCCAAACGGGTGTTGCTCCAGGTGCTGCACTGGTGGGACGCCGGATCCCTGTTGTGTCCCACCTAACGGAGCCACCCTTGCCCCCCACCGGTGTTTTGCAGCAAAGCATGAGGGAGAACAAGGAGAAGCAGGCTCTGTCTGACCTGATGATCAAGCCTGTGCAGAGGATCCCGCGATACGAGCTGCTGGTGAAGGTGGGTGCGGGCAGGAGGGTGTCTGTGCCATGCCGGCAGCGGGTGAGACCGTGGCACCTCCTCACCTCCGCGCAACAGGAGATTCTAGGGGTCTCACGTCTCTCCTGGACCCTTTTCCCATCCCTTGACACAAAGTTGGTGTCCCTGTGCATGGCTCTGCCCTCTTGGGAATGGTCGCCCTGAGGTCTGTCACCCCACTGTCCCTACGGGTGTGTGGTCCCCTTCCGCTCTGCCAGGAGGTTGGACACTGCAGTGCTATTTTGGGACCGGTTGCACTGCCACCCCCTCTGTGCCTCAATAACCCCATGCCAGGATCACTCCTCCTGGTGCTGGGGACGGTGGGGATGTGCTTTCGCAGAATCACAGACTGGTTTGGGTGGGAAGGGAGCTTAAAGCCACCCAGTGCCAGCCCCCGCCATGGGCAGGGACAACTTCCATAGCCCAGGTTGCTCCAAGCCTCATCCAGCCTGGC